TCATTTTGATGAGCATGTTCCAGTATAAAATCATGAATATTATTACACATTTTTGCATACCATAAGAGAGTTTGAAGAAAATTACTCCTACTAAGTGATGACTTAAATTCTTCATGACCTCAAAGTGCTAACCCTTGAGTTATAAGAAGTCTTACTATATTAACTGAAGCAGTTAAGCGGACCAAATACTCATGCTTAAATTGATTAAATTATCTCTCTAATGAAGATTGAATAGACTGTTATTGTCGCAAATCTTGACATTTTTGTTTTAACCGATTGTGAATGCTACTTGACCCACCAATATGTTTATCAAAACCTTTCTTTTTATGCCAACTCTTAAACCTTGTACTTTAAAATGCATCACCTCTACCTTGATGAATATTATTATCTTCAAGTAGATACAAAGGCGGATCCAGGATTTAAACCTTATGGGTTCAGCTTTTAAAATTTTTAGTATTGAACTCATTATATTTTTAAAGTTATGGGTTCATATCTACTATTTTTGCAATTTTAATAAATTTTTACATGTAAATTTTTACTCCGCGTCAAAAGTTATGGGTTCAATTGAACCCGTTAGTAATACGCTAGGTACGCCCCTGAGTAGATAACAATATAAACAATAGTCTGCATCTTTACTTACACTATACTCCAACAAATCATGATAATCATCATCAAACCATTTAGGATTAAATCGATGCATTGATCCAGAAAAATTAATTTTAGGAAAGTTATGAAGTCGAGGTTGACAAGAACCTTGTCGAATGTATTCTCTTCTAATAACATCACGATGATTTGGATGGGAGTTTAAGATTTGAGTTCTTTTCCCCGGGTCAAACTTTAAAGAATTTAAATCACATTCATGAGAAGATGGTACTTCTGAATGGTTAATATTCTCTTCCTGGATAGGTTATATGAGAAGCCAAATTTGATTTTGGTGCTTTGATAAAATACCTCTTCACTGAGTTTTGAGACTGAATTATAAAGTAGGAATGTAATTAGAAAAATTGTTATACAAATATTGTATTGAACTAAGCTTAAAGAAGGGTTAGCTTCAACATAAACTAAATAAAATACAAATTCATAAAAGGATTCAACTAGAAGTAAACATTGTTCCAAGACTCAATTTTCTTTAGTTTAATATCATCTTAATTTTCTTTAGTCTAATGTCATCTTAGTTTTCTTTAGTTTAGACAAAATTTTATTAGTCTAGTATTTCAATGGGACATATCACTAAGAGCACCTCTAAAATTGCATTTTGAACTTCTTCTCGCTAAAAGTAACACTTACTTTTTCAATACAATTATAAAGGTACTAGCTTTGACACATATTAGATTATTAATTTGATGTGTTAGGAAACTTATTTTAGTTGTAACTATATTATGTCTTAATTTCTTTAAGTAATTCACATGAACTAATTCTAACCCAATGCTTGAAACTTGTTGTTTCGAGTATTGAGCCTATGGCTTATGATGAAGTAGCTAGGAGATTATATGGTGCTGATGCTTATCTTAATTTGCCACATATGAGAACTAATTTCAATCCATTAAAAAAATCACAAAAGTTCAAATGGTTTTCTTCAAACAACTTTGTTTCATCATTCCCTAATAATACTACTGGCTTGCTCAACTTAAATGCTCAGCCTAATGTTTATGTAATTCACCATAAACTTTAAGAACTCAAGAAAATAGAGGCATCATCTTCAAGTTCTTCAATCAGTGATCCCAAGAATGAGATACAAAACTTCAGTAAACAATCCCGTTTGACAATTCCACAAGTTAAGGAGAAGGAAGTTGAATTTTCATCACAAAATAAATCAGTAGTTCAAGAAAAGCCTCAGATTGATCTGAATGAATTTCTTCAACAACTTGGAATACGGAAAATATATGATTATAAGGCAGATAAAAGTCAGGATCATAGCATTAGCTGTTTTACAGAGTCAGAAGTTTCATTGAAATATGACAGTTCAGTTGCTAATTTCTTTGCTGATGCAAGTTACAATTAGGACACATTGGGTGCAATATCAGAGAATTTGATGGTGCCAAAACTTTAAGAGTCATTCTCAATAACATCACTGATGCAATAAGAACAACAAATATCTATAAAGAAGCTTTTAATCTCCTTGATCGAGTCAAAGTATCTCAATTCTATAAAAACAATCAGCAATTATTTTTCATAAGTTTATAAAAGCAAATGCACTAGAAAACTCAATAATTTATAGTACTAAAGTCTACAAAATCAAGAATCAACAAACAACAAACAAGAATCATTAACCTAAATTAAGAATCAATATTCATTAATAAACACAAATAAATTTCTGAAAAAAGGTTAGGAAGAGAGAGGAACTTACCTGGGAAGCCACGACGGAAGAAACGTCGGCGATCGGCAATCGGCGAGGCAACGGAGAGAAGAATAGTGGCGAGGCAGACATATGAGACCAGTGGTGTGAGGTAACGAAGAGAGAGAGTGTCACGATCCCAATTTTTCTCTGTAGATTGTTGTAACGGCACATAGTCTCTAAGACTAGGTAAGCCTAACACGCGGAAGTAAATGAAAACAATAATATAATCTATAATCACAAAACTCAACAACATATATATAAAGGAAAATCTCTATAACTCAAGTGTATACAATAGCCCAAAACCCGACGTAATACAAGTCACAAGCTCTATGACAATGCCAAGTCATTCCTATACAACTGTGTCTACTAAGAAAAATATAAAAAGGGATAGAAGGGGACTCCAAGGCCTGCGGATGCGGGCATGTATACCTTGAACTCTCCAAATGCAAACTCAGCGTACTAGTGTTGGGACTGATAAGATATACCTGGATTTGTATAAAAAGATGTGCAGAAGCGTAGTATGAGTATACCATAATGGTACCCAGTAAGTGTTAAGTCTAACCTCGATAGAGTAGTGACGACGTCATGTCAAGGCCCTACTGGAGATAATAAGAAACGAGACGAAAGATATAATGATATACTGATAACCACAATGGAAATGAAACAAAAAGGAAATTTACCAAAAATTAACAACACTGAATCAAGATATTTTTTCGATTTATTTTTCATAAAATTAAAAACCTACCCTAATTAGCGGTACAGTTATAGATTTATATAAGAACCTACTATTTTATTAAAAGAAACCTAAAAATCGATTCGATGTGGTACGATTCGGTCGGTTTAATCAATATTTAAATATCCATTAACACCCTAATTACAATGAGGAGAAAGAAATATTTGGTTTATCTCTTGCGGTGGTAATTTGTTAAAAGAGTCAGATGTGCCGAAGATCGGGAGAAAGCAACAATAGCATTTGAGCAATATTTTTTAAAAAAACAAAGTTAAATTGACAAGAGATGGGAAGAACTTCCACCGAAATCAGGAAAAATATGAGTATATGACACTTCTCCTAAATAAGAGAAGAAAAATTCTCTCGGCAGTTATTTTTTATGAGAGAGAAAGAGAACTAAGATATCAAGAATTTAAATATAATCCCTTGTTTTTTAGTAAGAGTTGGAGAATAAATACGTTATTATTAAATACTAGTAGTATTTTATTTATATATGCTACATTTTGTAATAAAATCTGCAATTATTAGAATATTCCAAATATGGTAATATTAATATAACTACTATTTTATATAAGAGTCCTACAGTGTAAAAATCTCTTAAAATTTACAGCCACTTAGTCATTTTAACCATTTAATTATTTTTATCCAATAAAAAGTTATTAATAATATACAAGATTTTTAAAATATCTAGAAAAAAATTTCAAATGGTTTTCATTGAAAATATATAGGCGAGGCAATATACAAAAATTAAGAAAGATTGAAGGTAATTTAAACTGGTTTGGAGTTAAAATTCGTAATTGAAATCGAGTAAAAAAATTTAGTGCTTAAAAAAAATCTTGTTTGGGGGGGTTGTGGGG